CCACAGTTGTGCTGTGTTATCTATTTCAAAGCCTCCAACACTTACGGCTCCATTACAGGGTACATATTTGGCCTTTTTCTGCGCGTGGGGGGAGGGGAAGATAAAATTGGTTTCCCAGCCTTTATTAAATATCCATTTTATGATGAGGTTAAGGGTCAGCTGTTTCCGTTCCGTACTCTGTCCATGATTGTTTCTTTTTCTACCATTGTCTCGGTTTCGTTCTTAGCAAAGTATTTGTTTGAACGCGAAATCATTCCGTTAAAGTGTGATTTCCTGAACGCCTTCAAGAAATACGAGGTCCGGGAGAAAGAAAAATGCGAGGAAGAATCAAAAATGTGATTGTGTTTCTTGAGGAGGTTCCTGAAGGGGATTACTTATGCCGACATACATGGGTGATGTAATTTGTGTTGTTACACGTACATAATGTTTGTCTTTGCTGAGATTTTTTTGGAAAATGATTGATTAAGACTGTAGAATATACAAATGGGTATCACTTCCGGGATGATAAGCACACGTGCACATACAAACACGACAGCTTTTTCCTTTTGGCTATAGCTCTCTAGAGACACCAATCGCCATTTTCTGGTCTTCAACAAAAGCAGTGACCTATCCAGTTTCTAGTATTTTGAACCATCAAACAAAAATTAACCATCGAGTGAAGACAAATATAGAGCGACAGATTCCAAGTGCAAAATAAGACAAGACCGGGACCCCACCTGTGCTCTTACAGGTAAAAAAAAAAAACAATCAATCAGTGTGTGACGTTTGATGAAAATTAAGTGTAAAAGTGTAAGATAAAATTCATAGTAATGACCTTAAACTCTCGAATTTTTTAGCGCATACTATATAGCAATGGTAAGTACTGTATAAAACAGTGCGGGTTAGTAGACCTCAACATAAATGCATGATTATCCATAACGCGCAAGCCGGAAGAAACACGCACGCCACTTGGAATTCTTCAAAGTGCCGAAAATGAAAACTTCAATAAAAGGAGTGAAACCCACCACAAAATTTCCTATATTTTATTAATGGCTTTGAGTTTTGTTTGTTCAATAAAAAGCTCGACGTTTGTATCGTAATTCGCTGAGGATTGTATAAAACAAACAGACTTTCTGCAAACAGGCTATTCAGCTGATTATCTTTCACTTGATCAGAGTGATCTACTTTTCGTGTGAACAATGAAAACAGATATGCATTACCATTTGCGTAACAATGACGTAACACGTATTTACAAATAATGACAATGATGAGGCTGATTTTCGTGTTAATGTTAACACAACAATCTCGGGGCTTGGACATAAATGGCGGAAATCAATATTGGCGGCGCGATAGCAATCGTGCTCTTTTATTTGGTAATTCTTGGAATTGGTCTCTGGGCTGTTCGTGGCAGGCGAAGGGACAATGAAGAGGAAGCAATGTTAGCGGGAAGAAGTTTAGGATTGGTTATAGGGACCCTTACTTTAACAGGTACTGAAACATTGTAGTCTTCTGTAAGTTGCCAAGGATTTGGGTCAGGGTTGGGGTCAAATATATAGCGAGTAACTTTTCACTTAAAAAAAAACTTATCAACCGGCGAACCCATGGAAAAAAAGGTCGAGGAAATAAAATCATTGAATGGTTCTAGGGTTAGAGTGTTTAAAACTTCTATTCGTATTGTCGATCCTTACAGGCACGTGTTCTAACAGGTATACCATTTCCCAAAAAAGCAGATCTTCGTTCTGGTGCAACAAGATGTTTAAAGAAAAAAGTGGACAGCAGAATTTTCCAAATTTACTTTGGATTTAAATGTGATAACCGACCGACAAATTATATTTTGATTGATTTTTATCTACGCTATGAGGCCTTGCACGGAAACTAGGGCCATTCATTGATCATATGACAAAGCTCTAAACAAGCAAACGCCCTTGAACTCTCGGAAAAACAATGTAAGAGATACTACCCCATGTACTATCTGAAACAAAATTGATCCCGTGAGAACTGAACGCTTGTCACAAACGCGTAGAAAAACTTTTTCGTTTACTAACGGTTAATAACCAAAGTGGTCTGAATTGATTTGAAACCATACTCGTGACTTCAAAACAAAAATTGTAGGAGCCACTTTATAAGATCCATTTTTTTAATCGTGATTTTTAATGATAAAATGCGGTTTGTGAAGAGGCTAAGTTGAAGTGCATTTGCATAAAAGAGTGCCAAGCTAATTACATGAATACTTTAGCACGAAGAGAGTCCGACTGTACATTCAATGCTGGATTCAGTCGAATTCTCTTCGTGCTAGAGTATTCATGTAATTAGCTTGGCACTCTTTTATGCAAATTCGCTTAACTTAGCCTCTTCACAAACCGCATTTTATCCTTAATTATGTAACCTTGATAATGGCACAAGATGCCCCGAAACGTCGGTTTCTATCGCTTATATTTCTTGTCTCATGTATTTCCAAATCGTTTCTTATAAGATTTTTTTTATCACCCAATTTTTTGCCTCGATACAGGATTTTTTATTGTCATCAATTTTTCACTGACCCTACGGAAAATTAGTTTAAAATGAGCGAGAAAATGGAGAAAGGGGGTAACTAGTTCTAAATTGTGCGATATGTGAATAAAGCTCACAGCCTAAAGCCAATAAGAGTGTAACTGTCACGTGTGGTTCACATTCGATTCGTCAGATTCAACTGCCTCAAACATTAAAGTAAACAGTAATACCTGTTGCCACTGATGATTTTTAAATTTATTTTCATCATTCGTGGTCTTCATGTTTTGCCTCATGAAGAGCAAAAATTATGGTGATTCTCAAGTTTTGCCCCTCCTATCCTTTTCGGCGCGAAAAAGCACCTTCCATGTAACTACGACGCTTGGTAAGAAAGAGACATGGAAAAAAATAATGTTTTCATCTCTCTAGACAAGTGTGATAATTAACCTATTTCATAAACAGTTGTATTACTTTATTTGCCTTCTTCTCTATGTTGAAAAATTTAAAATGTTTTTCAAAGAAAACGTTATGGGTAAATGTAGTTCGTCGCCATGAAAAGTGTGGACATTTTGTTCCTGAGGTTGAGGACCGTAAAATATTTATAGTTGTGCCTGTGTCAAAAACAAACATTAACTATTACCTTTAGTCAACACAGTGTAGCTAGTTTGCTATTTTAAGAATCAAGTCAAAACAGTCCTCCTTGTTGCAGTCGCCGTCGTGGTTTGCTTAAAGTCTCTATTTTAAACGTGAAATCACTAACATCTGCCTCGTTTGCGAACGGAAACCGCGACAGTGAGTTATTTCAATTTTCATTTGGAACACAACGCTGCTTATGTAGGTTATGCTGAAGTTGAGGTGTGGAGCCGCAAAGGGCGGTAAACACATGCATCCATTTTAGAAATTCTAACTAAAAGTAGAAATTCATTTTTTAATCGACGTCTCATTCCTTGGCGTTGTCTTCTTGAGTGCCTGATGTCCCTAATACCTCTATAATTTCAAACAAAGCTGGATTCCAAAATGGACTTTGTAATACTTTGAGTCATGAGTCTAATAACAAGAGTCCAGAGTGCAGTTGAATTCTTGGGCAATATCTTTGTTTGTATAGTCAAACCTCGATATTTTGAAAATGGTCACCATTTACAAGCCAAAGTTCGCTATCCAAAGTTATAGTATATAAGATCTCCGTCAAACAGTCTCCTCTATTTGACAACAGCTCATGGCGTAGGCCGTAACCCTTTCGACTTTCCAAATATCTAATTCTTTCGAACTCAACCGTTGTTAGAACATAGCTAGCAGAACCGCGCAATCAAATTCAATATACGGAAGCGTGCTCAAAATCCCAATAGTGCACTCTGATAGCGTCAGCAAATCGCTTGGCCAGAAATTTTTTTTTTCGCTCGAGCGGCCATTGTTAGCGCGGGGAAAAATAATATATTTCGCAACAATGCAGACAGAAACTCGGCCTACTAGTCCGAAAACGAAGACAATGTTTGGACCTTTACCTTGGGCTAGAGTTCTTAAATGAGGCAGAAAAAGAGAAAAACAACGGAAAAGGAGACTCGGCATCAGCGCCGTCACGATTCACTTCGACTGATATTGTTTTCCGTTTTTCGCGTCCGATTTGATGCACAATTCGCTGAGGATTGTATAAAACAAACAGACTTTCTGCAAACAGGCTATTCAGCTGATTATCTTTCACTTGATCAGAGTGATCTACTTTTCGTGTGAACAATGAAAACAGATATGCATTACCATNTTAAAAATTGTTTATTTCATCTTTACATGCTCACTTTGGAGGCTGGTTGGCTGCATGTGATGCTTTAATGCATGTGATGCTTTAATGTGACAGCGTGATGCTGTTAGTGAGCTTCTATGCGCTAGCTGATGTTTGGCTGTGTAGCCGCGTGATGCGGTTCCAGTCAATACCCACTAATTGACCCTTGCTCACCATAGAGTCTCCTGTAGCTCAGTGGTTAGAGCATCCGACTAGATCACGGAGGGTCGTGGGTTCAAATCCCATCTGGAAACTCGATTTTTAAAAATTGTTTATTTCATCTTTAAAGAGTATAATAGAAAGATTAAGGAAGCTAAAATGTTGATAAATGTTCGCCAAAGTTACAACTAAGAGCGATGAAAAAGGAAAGCAGCAAGTAATTTGGCTCTAAGTTTACGCTTAAAATCAGGAGAAGAATTAAAGAGTTTGAGGGTATTATCTAAACTTGTCCATAGACTTACTGTACGATAAAAGAAAGTCCCTTGTCTAGATTTAGTTCTATATAAGGGTATATGCAGAAGTTGGGAGCTTCTGGTCGTGCGAGCACTTATCTCACCACGTGTTAGAAACTTCGAGGAGAGATAAGTAGGAGCTGAGCCGGTCATACATTTAAAAGCAAGTAGGGCGTCATGGAGATATAGCTGAGACTTAATAGGTAGCCAGTGCAGTTCTCTCAGGAGCGGAGTCACGTAGTCAAATTTTCTGATGATCAGGGCTGATGATCAGGGCTGCAAAATTCTGGACCGCTTGTAGTTTGAGAAGGTTAGTTTCTGCTGCAATGGACCAGACGGAGGAACAATAAAAAAACTTACTAAACACTAAAGTGTTAATTATTATCAATAAGGTCGATCTGTCAAACACGTGCTTAACACGATTAATTTGAGCTAAACTTGAGAAACAAGAGAAAACTGTTTTAACAATATGCTCGTGAAAAGTAAGGCTCGAGTCAAATGTCACGCCTAGCTCTTTAACGACGTGCACCGGTATTAGTTCCTTTCCTAAGAGGGAGAGATGAATAACCGGGATATTATTTAAATTTTGTCGACTTCCTTAAATAATAAGCTTCGTTTTATCGGGATTCAAGAGAAGACGATTTGCGAAGCACCAGTTTCAAATCTGTAGAAGATCAGCGCAGAATTTCGAATCTGTAGAATTTCATTTGCTTTAAGTATTATAAGAGCTTACAACTTTCATTTTTCCATAGCAACATGGGTCGGTGGAGGCTACATCAATGGTACAGCGGAAGTGCTCTATGATAAAAACCTGGGGCTAGTCTGGGCCCAGGCTCCTTGGTGCTATGCTATCAGCCTGGGGCTTGGTGAGTATCAAAAGAGAGTTTTCACCACGAGATTGAAACATTTCGCATATTTCATCTGCCAAACACATTAACCCTTTAAATCGCCAGAAATTTAAGCTTTCCGTGAAATTATCCCTTAGTTTTCGACCTGTCTTCACAGGTTTAGTGGCTATGGCGATCTGGGCCCATAACTAGAAAAATCTCGAATATTTAAGGACTCCCTAGTAATATTCTAATATCTAAATTCAGGGAAGATTAATGCGGGTTTTTAACTTAAAGAGGGGGGGCATTGGAGCCTATTAGAAACCGCGAAACCGTAGAAAAAATCATCCAAAACCGAAATAAAAATCGATCAAAACCGAAAACCGCATCCAAACTGTCAAAACCGATACATTTTCACATCCCAGTTATTAAAACCCTGAGCGATCCGATACAGTGGTAACAAGAGGAGCATACAAAGTAAACTACACTAATTTCATGACAGTATTTGTGAATGCCATGGACTTGGCATTCGTATCTTCTAGTATCTGTTTAAATTACAGGCTTTAATTCAGCTGCTCTCTCGAGGTCCATTAAGAGTGAATCGCCTTGAAATGCTCGTTTTTTCTTTTTCGTTGCCTCTCCGCCATGGAACAGACGCTCGTGGTATTTAGTCATGATCTTCCCCACCGATCGCGAATTTGCAATTTATCATAGGTGTAGATATCGCGCATTCTAAGTGTATGAGGACTCTAAGTCTTCCGTAAGTCTGTTTCGTCCTAAAATAGCCATATATCATTATTTGTAGCAGGGGCGTAGTGTGAGATTTCGAAGATGTATGCAAAGCGCTGAAATTGGGAGCGCCAAAGGCGCCCCCAACCAGGGGTGTGAGAGGGCTGGGGGCATGCTCCACCAGAAAATTTTGAAATTTAGGGTCTCGGAAATGCCATTTCGAACTATTTCCGCGGAACTTTTTTTGTAATTAAATGCGACGGAAAATGCAATAGTTAGTTGTTTATTTTACCCATCTCTAGAGTTTTAAAGTTAAAAGGGTTATTGGCTTCCTAAAATATCTGGAGAGTTAACAAGTCTAAGAAACCAAAGACAGTTTCTTGTCGTTTATGAATTAATGAAACGGTACTGGAAAAACAAACACACACATCAGTATAATTCGAAATTTAACCGCGACAAATGCTTGCTATAAGGGAATAAAAAAAAATCATTTTCAGATTTCAGCTGTACGCACGGGCGTATTGCATATATGAACGCTGCGCCCCTGTAAAAGATATAGCGATTAAGCAATTGTAATTTAAATAATGACATTGGCACTCATCAAACACTGTTTTTATGCTTGTGCAAGTTTCTCTCTTCCTCTTTTATTTTGCATCTACACTTGTTTTTCTTTCTGAAGTTCTCGCCGCCTTTCCCCTCTTCGTAAAAAAACGCGACACAATCCACAGTCCTTGACCCTCTCCCGTCTGGCACGTTGGAAGATATGGTTCGCAAACTGATCGACCTTGACCTAAATGCTCCACATTGCAAGGTCAAAGTCTAGTCTGAATTTCAGCCGTCTCTTCCCTTTATCCCACGCCCCCCTTGGGGTAAAGGGAAGAGACGGCTGAAATTTCAGACTAGGTCAAAGTCGGGCGTCATTCAAGATGCGTGAACCCCCCTAGGGATCCTTGCGATATTACAATTGGTTTGTCACGCATTCCTCTCAATAACATTTGCGTTTAGCGGCTATTCGAGGTCAGTGGAGGTGATTGATTGTCGCTCAGATCGAAAAGAAACCGAAACCCAAATAAGTCAATGAGGAAAAATCGAAAACTGCATCGGATATCAGATCCGAAAACCCATTAGTATTTTTCGCGAAAACCGAAAACCAAATGTGTAAAAACGGAAAATCCGCAAACCGCAATGAATACCAAAACCAAAAAACCGACGTTTTCAAGCACAAAAACCTAAAAACTGATCTAAAAAATAGCCAAAACCGCAAAACCGAAAATCACAATGTCCCCCTCCATAAAAACCAATCCATTGTGTTCCGTTTCTAAACGTCGTAATGATTTAAATTTTATAATTATTCTATTTTGATATTAAATGTTAACACGTAACACGGCGACAAAAAAATATTTTTCGGGACCTTTACCACCAGTAAAGCCGAGAAACGAGCTTTAGAGCTGAATGTTTTACCCGATCAGACTTTTCTCCAACTGAGGTCATGATCCGTCAAGAAAACACACAATCTTTATCTATCATTTCCTGTTCAGTTGTAGCACAATCGGCTCAACTAACGACTTATCTTTTAATTGATAGGTGGACTTCTGTTTACAAAAGTCATGCGAGAAAGAAAGTACGTCACCATGATTGACCCTGTCCAAGAGAAGTATGGTGTAATAATGGGTGGATTGTTATACATTCCCGCCTTGCTGGGAGAGATATTTTGGTCTGGCGCCATCTTGTCAGCTCTTGGTGCCACTGTGAGTGTTGTTATTGGCTTGGATCGCTTCACCTCCATTATTGTGTCTTCTTGTATCGCTATTTTCTACACTCTGATTGGCGGGCTATACTCTGTGGTTTACACTGATGTGATTCAACTCTTCTGCATCTTCATTGGATTGGTAAGTGCAGCCACCAGTTTCACTTTCCTTGATATTCGCATCATTCTCACGACGTACTGTGATCAGATGTAACCCAGAAAACATTTCTGTAGCCTCTGGTACTTGTGATAGGTGCCTTGATATCTGAGAATTTTCAGAAAGAATGTCTGTTGAACCTCGTTCCACTTCATTTACTAGTGGCTCAGTATTCCATTCGCCATGACACACAAAGCAGTGAGTAGCATCTCTGAAGATTCTGGGAAATGGCTAGGAGAGATTCCTACCGATGAAATCGGAGTGTGGTTGGATTATGCGCTGCTGCTGGTAAGCTTCTCCTTTTCTAACCGCCTACGGTATCACTGAGGAGGACAATATTTCGGGTTTCTTTTTCAAGCACTGAGATCTTGCCAATTGAACACTTAGGGAAACGACGTTCCTACCCACGCAGGACTAATGTTTCTCACACGACTTTCAATGATCCTTTTTTTTTAAAGGGGTGGGGAGGGGGGGGGAGAAGGGTCTCTGTCAGGGAAACAAAACTGCAAATTCAAAACCGTCAAAGCTTTTCCCTAACTGAATTGTTGATCGCTTCGTAATGGATGTAAGACAAGAAAACTCAAGAACTTTCTTCCGGCGAAATAGCATCTGTCAACTTTCTCAGTGCTTTCTTCGTTGTTGCTGTCGTGGTCTCCCATATTTAGTAATTGTATGCGCACGCATAAGTAAAAAACATTAAAGTCATACTTGAGTTCCCGCCATGTCGTTTGGATGTTTGTGAGATTCTCTTGTCAGTACACGACAGTTGCGACATGATTTTGCACATCACGCTTTCACTTGGCCCGATGTCTCGATGTTCTCAACTGACCGAGAGTTTCCATGGAAATTCGAGAAGTGGGGAGGGGGGATAAAGAGGAAAAGATCTCCCAGGTTCGTGTTTTAAAGAAAAGTTGGTAGTTGATTAGTCTGCCTGGTCAACAAAATTTCTGCCCGTGGAAACTTGAGAAGAAGCCATTCATTCGTATGCCATTATTTGACAATCACACATGATTAAGGGTTCGTTTTCTTTCATTTTCAATTTACAGATATGGGGCGGTCTTCCATGGCAAATTTACTTTCAGCGCGCCTTGTCGTGCAAATCCCCATCTACTTCAAGAATAGTCTCTTACACCGCTTCCTTTGGATGTCTGATTATGGCTATTCCCGCTGTGCTTATCGGAGCCATTGGTGCCTCGACAGGTAGAATCATGAAAATCCCTGCCTCGCCCCTCTTTAATATTCCTATAAATCAAAGGAAATACAAAGCAAAGTTATCCCGAGGGGAGGGGGTTTCACCCTTCGGTGGACTGGTCGGGGGGGGGGAGTAAAAATGCTCTCAGTCGGTTCATGCTACGTAGACCAGGATAACTCTGCCAGGATGAGCCCTCTGATTCTTCCCCGAGCTTACTTACCCCCACCTTTCACTGTTTCTCCCCCCTTCTTCTTTCCTTAAATAAATTGATAAGAACTTACGCCAAACATAGGTTAACTGCCCCAAAACCCCAAGAACCTAACGTGATTAAGTTGAGTTATTTACAAGGCTAAAAATATATTTAAAAAGTAAAAACCAACCTTTTTCGGCACCAGGTCATCATCAGAGTAACTGAAAAGGATGATGATGACTTGGTGTCGCAATTGCGCATACTCCATGGATGGTTGTCAAATACAATCTGAATTTCCCGCCCCTTAAAGTGCTTTTGTTGCTTTCATCTAGATTGGACCCAAACGTCATTTTATAAACTATCTGAGGGTGTCATCACCAACCAAACAACCTCTGTAGAGTTTGATAAGACATTAATCCTTCCCATGGTGCTTCAGTACCTCACACCACCCATTGTGTCCTTCATTGGTCTGGGTGCTGTGTCTGCTGCTGTCATGTCTTCTACCGATTCCAGTTTTCTCTCTGTTAGCACCATCCTGGCTCATAACATATACAGGCCCATCTTCAGAAAAAAGGTAAGATACCTCCATCATTTTGGTGTTTGCCCTCTGTACCAATCTATGTAGTTAGAGAATGAAATAAAACCTGACTCATTAAGATTTAAATTTCGAGTTCTTTCAATTTTCCTAGGCCTCTGAGAAGGAAGTCGTGTGGGCAATGCGAGTCGCTATCGTAATAGCTGGCGCAGCCGCTACTGGAATGGCTCTGTCAGTTGAATCCATCTACGCCCTGTTTCATCTGTGCAGTGACCTGATCTACGTGGTCCTTTTTCCTCCGTGGTGTTTAGCTCTCCACTGGAAAGACGTCAACACTTACGGCTCCATTGTAGGTTACCTACCAGGTCTCCTGCTACGCGTGGGGGGAGGGGAAGAAAAAATTGGTTTCTCTGCCTTCATTAAATACCCATTTTATGACGAGGTTAAGGGTCAGTTGTTTCCGTTCCGTACTTTGGCTATGATCGTTACCTTTGTTACTATCATTGTGGTGTCTTCCGTAACAAAGTACTTGTTTGAGCGGGAGATTATACCCCTGAAGTATGATTTCTTGAACGTGTTTAAAACTTATAACACAAAGAGAGCAAATGAGACAGACCATGAGCCGTCGTTGTATCCCCTTTGAACCTTTTTCGTCGTCTTTAAAATGCTTTAAGATCATAGGATCCAAAATATAAAGGGGCGAGAGTGCGGTTACACTCCCTGTTTGTTTTGTTTTGTTTTGCTTTGTTTTGTTCTGTTTCTATTTTATCATATACAACGCACAAATCAAAATTCTAAATTAAAGACCATCACTAATAGACCAAACTGCTTAAAAATAATAATAACCATTCAATTTGGTGTTTCACTGCTATCACCTCGGAAAGCAGGCTTCTCTTTTAGGTACCATTGCCCAATACCTTCCGAGGAAATTGACGCATTTCAAAGCCTACACTAGACAAAGGGCCTCGTTCTTCGCCTCCCCTCCCCTCCCTCCCCTCCCTCCCCACTCCCTCATTTCCTCTTCCTTTGGATCAGTAACACACATAGGAAAACACTCCTTTTTGAGCAATTTATCCATGTGATTCAGCTTTTCTTTGACAGGAGTGGCTCTATATAAATCAAATTTAGTATCCAGAATCTTTGATTAGGTATATAGGTCCTCGTTTTTCAACAAGAATGTTTTTTTACCAAGTTTCATACCCCTGTATTTTAATTTGGAATTAAAAAAATTTTGGAATCAAGCGACGGCAGTAGTTCATTTTCAATAGCCAAGTTTCACAGAGTGATCTTTTTAATATGTTGTTTCTTGAGAGTTTATTGCTACAGCATCAATAATTTTAAGCAGAGCGTGTTAATTGCGATTAATTAGAGACTAAAAAAAGGTTTATATACATACTAGACGTAACAAAGAGTTTGGTTTTCATTCATGAATGTTTTTATGCACATTCATTTACAACAGGTTTTATTTGTAACTTGCTTGAGTTTTATAGATTATATCAATAAAGTCAGCGTGTCATTCACCCAGCATGTGTATTGATTTAGTTAGCTTTTTCAGACGTTGAAACCGGGATGAAAATCGAGGTTCTGACACTCTTCTACGCTATCAATAAACATAATTCCTCTATGTTTACTGGCTGTTTTACTGGTAGTGATGAAGAAAAAAACTGGATAAAAAGCTGGTTCTTATTGACCACAGTAAGATGAGTATTTGTAACATTCGTATTCTAAGAATCAAACATGGCTGCCAATGAACCACCCTCTTTGATAGTCTGTTGGCTCGTTTTGCAGACTTGTCCATTGTTCTTCGCCTCATTATCGACAGCTGTAACTTGTAACGCTATCGATTCTTCGCAATGCGAACTTTCCTGAATAGAACAACTAGTACTATTCCTCTCAATATTTTGTATTTCACTTTCGGTGTTTTCTATGTTATTCTGATTTCTCTGACTCTCGTGAACGTGATCACGTGACCGCAGGTGTTTCTTTCTTGGAATTGTGATCCGCTGGTCAACGGATCTAACACTTGAGGCAGATGAAGAACTAGAACTACTCGTCCGGTGAATAATCACTTTTACCTCCCGGTGGTCCTGGGTACTATTTATGACACTATCGGTACTAGTCTCCTCTATAACTCCATCGCATGTGACAATAGGGACCATATCCTCGTGCCGCCGCACTTGTTTCATCTGGGACGATTTCTTCACCACTGTCCGCGGTAGCTCACGATCCTTGATATCATTTGTTCTGTTATCAGAAACCTGACGAGATTTATTTCTGATTTTCGTTTTTGAATAACGCGGTTGGCCACCGGGAAGACCTGGGACTTTCTCTTCTTCAGGATTATTACTGTAGCGCTCTGAATTTCCACGGAGACACCGGTGGTAAGGAAAAAGGTAAAACAGCATTATTACGGCTACAGGCGGCCAAATGACAAACTACCAGCTCTAAAACGCTCCTTTTCGCGGGTCAAACGGCAAAGTGTGGGCTGTAAATGGCATTTGCCGCCCTGATAGATATTTTATTAAGTGAATTTACACGATTTGGCTTTGTGTCTTAATAATAGAGATAACCATGCGACTTTTTTCGGGCATATAGTTTAATTGTGCCCCTCGTAGCATCATTGAGCTATCCATTGAGCTAACCGCCTCCCGGTTAGCTCAATGGATAGAGCGCTGGACTGTTATGCGGGAGGTCGAGGGGTTCGAGCCCCGGCCGGATCAACACTCAAGGTCTTAAAATAATTGAGAAGAATTTTCTACCTTTCTATAACATCAAGAAATGGTTAGATATTCTAGTCTTCTCGGATAGGGACGAATAAATGGAGGTCCCGTCTCCTGCCGGGTAGGAGGTAGGAGATGTTAATTTCCCACACACGAGATTACTGTGTGATGGATGTCCTCCCCTGGGGTGGGATGGGTGGGAAGGTGAGATCGATAGACTGAAGCGGCTGCCAGAGGCGCCTGATATGCTGACGTCTGTTCTCAACCTTACACTGCACCCGTAATTCAGCCTCTGGGCTGCAAATGGTCAGATATAAACTATATTCATACATTCATTTGTACCCTCGCTCCGCTTAGACACAAACGATGCTACTCGGGCCACAAATAAACTATATGCCCTCCAAAAGTCATGTGATTGTCCTAAAAACGCAAAGTCACAGATTGATAAAGGTGACTTGCCACCACCTGTATCTACCATGTTACCTCTTTAGAGTACTTTTCATTTGAGTTTCGAAAAACCAAAACCAAAGTACAGATAATAACGACAGCCAATGGGAGCGAAAGTCGACATCAACGTTAGTCAATTAGGACTCAATGTAAAAACAGGCAAATTATCAAAAGCGCGGGAAAACGCAGAGACCGAGTCACAATTAGTTTTCGTTTTCGTTTGGCCTGTGATTGGTTTAGAGCATCGCGCGAGTTCTCTAGACCAATCACAGACCAAAATAAAGCGAAAACAAAGCAATCTCAGATTACTTTCGACACAGTTGAAATTAGTCTAATAAAGAGATAAATTCAGCAAGACAATGGCAAGGTTTATCAACGTTTCACGATGTAGTTACATTACTTTATTATGGTGCAAACGATTTTTAATACAAGCCCCAAAACTTGTAAACTCTAGCTTACCAGAAGGACTTTTGAATATTTTCTTTCTGTCCTCCGTCCTCTCCTGTACGAAAAGTAAAACAAGGTTTTCACCAATTGAAAATAAGGGGATAATTCTAAAGGAATTTTCATAAGCCGAAAACGACGTGTAAAGGCGTAAAAGCTTAAGGAGGTGAAAATGTAGGTCAATGGATGAAGGTTCGAGCAGGCGATGATTTCCATTTTAGTGTGCGTATTTTACTTTTGAGTGGAATGCAGGGGTTCCCTGTGGCCTCAAACACCATCGCCTTCTCCCACTCTCTTAGTTCATATATGTCATGTGCAAAACAAACAACTTACGTATTGTAACTGCAACCCGAGCTCACGATTGGATCTCCTCAAGTAATTTGCTTCAGACCTATAGTAATAGATTGCGATTCTAGCAAAAGAGAAACCAGTGTATATGCATATGAGAATAAATATTTCAAGAGAGTAAGAAAGTACGGTCAGGACCCTTTTCAAGACAGCTTGTGAGCGGTATACTTACGACATCAATATGAACGCTGGGATCACGACACTTGGGCCACTCAGGTAGTCAACTATTGTGTCCAGCAGGGCGGGACCATTGTCAATAGATTCTGTAAGTACCCGGTACATGTTAGGTTTGCCCCTGACGGTAAACAAAAATAAGTACAAACGATTTAAACAATTCTCGCAAGTTATAAACACTGGTAAACAAAGGTTTGCTGGTCAAAAACGCATTTTTAAATTACAGATCATTCATGGCGAATTATTCATCGGGAACGAAAACGATGTTTTTGGTTGGAAATTTTCACCTTTGACAAAACTGTATCTATTGATTGTATGAAATCATTTCCGATCAGGCAAGAGTTGAGCTTTTCTCCAACAATAACATTTCTTTCTTTGGTACTGAACTGATCAACGAGGTACGATTTTTTATGTGGCCATACAACTAGTGCACAATGATTATCGTTTCAACAGATTCACACCTGAAAGGACCGCACCATTTTGAAGGTTCTATCCTACAGGAAAAAAAAAAGTTGGTTAACTCAGCTTAAACTCGAAGAAAAGTTTATGAATCTTAGGTAGCAATATAATCTGATGAAATCACTGCAAAATAGTTAAGCAGTTTCACTACAGTCTGTGGAATTGTACTTACTCCACAGCAGCATATCCTACAGCTAACATACACAGAAACAGCATAACGAGAAGAAGAACCAAGTAGAACCGCTGAGACGCCTTAAAGATCCTCATCGGAGGGACGTTAGTAACCATCACTGCCCAGCTCCTAAGGTACATGATGATGACTAGCTTGAGGATGTTTAGCATAATAAGCCCTGGAGAGAACACCAGACCCATCCTGAAAAAAAAAAGGGATGACCCTATGTTGTATAGAGCTAAGAGGGAGAAAAAACGCATGTTCGTGCTTTGATTTATGGCGCCTTGAAGATGAAACGAAAGCCAAGAGTTTGTCAATAATAATTCCAACCAACTGTCTTACACTGCAGTCGATGCATAGAAAAATTTAAGTATCATCAAGCTACCATATGGAGGCAGCGCGCTACGGCTGCCTTGATAATATACTGCTGCTGTTCATCATTATCATATAGTTATTATCATATAGTCATTATCATATAGTCATTATCATATAGTCCCCCGTACTTTCCCCAACAATTCACTGGTACTCATTTAAAATCCTTTCTGCAGGAGGGCATCTCAGCTTGCCCCTTAAATAACGGTGAGGTTTATAGGTGCTGTCTATTCAAAAGCAGTCAAATAACTTGTACTCTTTAACCTACCAGATTAGTCCCTGGCTGTTAATAAGTTGTAATACATTTTCCGCAAGTTTGAACTCGGGATAACCTAACTGGAGAAATAAAGAAAGCAGCAATTTTTTTTAAGTTCTCCCTTCTGCATTAAGTTTCTTTATTATAAAACTGGGAAAGCCTTTGAATCTATTTATACGTCTCACCTGTTTTACTCAGAACATCTTACCTTATTGACGAAGATGCCGACTTTCATATTTACACACATAAAAATGAGAATGCTATCCACTCACGATTTTTTCAAGATCTAAGAGTCGGCCTTGAAAACAGTTGAGAAATCGGACAGTGAGTGATACAAACAAGTCACCCGTCAACACACTGAATACCAGGGCTACTAAGTCAATAATTGTTAATTTAAACAGCTCCTGACCCACAGTAGTCTCCCAGCACAGTGAGCCTGAAAGAAACCGAAAAAAATACGGACGTATCACTTCGAATGTCTTTGTCCAAAAAGTGAAGAACGCAGAAATCTCAGTAATCACCAGACTAAGCTAAGAGTAGTCCTGCATACATTTTAGGAAGGAAACTAGCCTTCTTAAGGTGCCACACTGCACCACAAGATTGGATTGTATTGTATACTATCTAAATGAAATAACCTAGTTCTTCCACAAATAATTTAAAAATATATTTTTCCTTCGTCAATTCAGCTTCCCTTGTCTAAAGGATGTGATCACGAGGAAAAACAGAATTGCTCGGCCTTAGCCGTAAAGGAAAGTTATGCTCATGAGGGATACAAATCAGTAAATGAACACCACCTTACCTACTGTGGTGTTTGTTTTAAATGTGGTTACAGGAGTGGCGGTCGAGTTTATCACACCACTGGTTGGTGAGACGTCAGAGGCAGTTCCTTTTGACTGCAAGGAAAATGTGAACAAAAACCTCGATAGCTAGATTTAAGGAAACAATTCCTAGCCTTGATTTGTTGGATTCTTCTCCAATCATGTTCCCAGGGCCTCTATACTTTGTACCTCTATACCCTTTGAAGATTGGAAAAGACAGTTTCCCACACTCAGGCCTGCGAGGAACCCTTCATCACTAGCGCTTCAGCACAAACTTTTCTCCACCCGCGGGAAAATGTGAACCTTATACAACACGAGCCGGCGAGAGGTCTGCAGGGAGTGCGGTATAGAAGGAGTTGATTTAGTCATTCTATGAATAAGAAAATGAGTGAATGAACGAAGAATTAACTGATTGATTCACAGGGTTTAAAATGGCTGTCCGACTAACCGACTGTCTTCCGATTGATTAACGCCGACCAACCGACTGTCCTCCGACTAAGTAACTCTGACTAACCGATTATCTAACGATTGATTAACTCCGACCAACCGACTGTCCTCCGATTAAGTAACTCTGACTAACCGACTATCTAACGATTGATTAATTCCGACTAACCGACTTTGTTCTGATTGATTAACTGCGGCTAAGTGAAGTGAAGTGAAGTGAAGTGAAACTTTATTTAAGGAGGAAACCACATCACCCTTGGGTGGTTTTCATGAGGGACCTCCATATAAAAATAAGTTAATTACAACAATAATTGTAAAATATTCAAAGTACAAGAACTAGATACATTAATAAGAATGGAATTAATATAAGCTAAGCGATGGTCCGACTGATTACCTCCAGCTGACCGCCTGTCTTTTGATCAGATCATTTGGTTTTATCAACCGAGTTATTTGGAATGAATTAATAACCAGTTGACTGGTTTACTGATTGAATAATTTATGATAAATAGATACAATTATCAAAATCATATCAAAACGAAAGCAGTTCCCTCAGAGCAAAATATTTTAAATTTCTTACCTGATTTATTTTATTGAGGAGAGATATAACCAGTACGTACATATTTCCAAGATACATGAACATAATTCTATAAAAGAGAATGAAACGGAATCTTTACGAAAAAAACAAAGTAAAGCTCTCAGAGTTTTGCTGACATACTGTTATAAAAATCAGCATTAATAGCTCAGTCAAAAAAACCCTGTGCAACCAAAGTTACTGAATTACAAACAGGTGTTAGATGCGAGGAGTGGTATTTTCTGGAGAGCGTAGCAACGCCTTATTTCACTGATTTATTGGGAGATTTTTTCAGCGGGAACCATTTTAATTCGCAGCTTTGGTAAAATTTTCACTGAGAAGAAACCAAGCGCGGGAATGATGAGACTCTCATAAAACCTTGTGAGCTCCCAATAAAGAGCAACTCTTGGATGATACTGCTCCATCATGGAAATCAATTTGAAGAATACAGGACACACAGCATTCATGCCCGTAATGGCGAGAGATATCTTAAAAATAAATAAAAAAACACGCGTTAAAATGGGCTAATGTCATTAACGTTGGACATATTATTTAAACAAGTCGTATAAAAACTAGGATTCATTAAAAGAAAAAAGCGCACAACTCTCGTGGCATGTACCATTGAATATTGTCATTACTAAGGTAGGTCCTGGAGGGACAAACTAGCATTTTGGGAGAGTAAGATGCAAAGAAAAATAAGGCGTGGCACTGTAGCCATTTTGGAAGATTCTTCGATGATCACAGATGACAAAGGCTGGTTAAATTCTTTCCGATAGTTTTAGTAACTAAGAATATCTACAGATCTATTGATTATAGAACAATTTTCAATCGAGTGTTGAAAGTACTCCGGAATTACTTTTGTTTATCGTAAGTGATTCCTCCAGAAATCTTGTGCTCCTTTCTCAAACAATCAGATTCAAAAACTAAAACCAATCACGAATTGGTCACTAGCGGTAGTTTGCTTGTTTTAATCTGAGTTCTCATTGGCTCTAAATGTTGTGAAGCTGTTTGACATCATTACCTATCAACTTGCAGTATTTATGTATAAGCTTTTCACAAGAAACTCTTACCTCCTGTATTTGACCCTTATTTCAATTCTGTTAGGATGCTACATACTTATAATACCAGATTATCTAGCAAAATGACTTATGCTATTCCAAATGCCATAACAAATTATGGAATCTTCAACATAAGATTTCAGGGTGCTAAAGTCTAGAAAGATATAAGTGAAGACATAAAGCTTCTTCCTCTAAAACGTTTTAAGGAAAACCTTAAGCTAATTCTTCTTGATAAATATTAATAATTTTTTTGGCCTTCCGCTTGTTTTGTACTCTTATATTCCTTGCTTCCTTGACCTTGTTTTGTATGATGAATGAGTGTGTGTGTGTGTGTGTGCGTGTGTGCGTATTGTGTGTGTTATATCTGACCCAAAGTATAGCTGCCCTTTTTTTCTAGCTCTATGGTTATTTGGGGCAGCTAGTACTCCTTTTTATTCTTGTGAATTTATCATTATTTTCATCACTATCTTTTATGTTGAGTACAAATAAAGTTGTTGTTGATGTTGTTGTTGCTCTTTGTGATATTCTGCTTACTATGATTGGCTGTTATGACTGCTTTGGTTTTGGTTTTACAACACTTAATCGAAAAGTACTCTATCGAGAGTTTAGCTTCATGGTTAGAACAAAACGAACAACGAAATTTGGTTTAACATTTTATGAGGCAAGAAGTGTTAATTGCCAATCGATATGATGCAATTTGCCAGGCCATGATTGTAAACAATGCCATACAAGCGGGGTACGTTTGTGGTAGATATGCCCGATTTAACCCTGTCACCCCTCAGAGTCACTACCGTCTAAATTCCTCTAACAGTATCGCCCCTGAATCACACATTATGGGTCGGGAGAATAAAGGAAATGATCACTAACAAAAGAAGCTCTTGACTAGTAAACAAATTCTCCTTGTCAGCACCTTGGGAAATGTATAGAGAACAGTATGGAGAATACGCAGACTGTTTAGAGGGTTAAGTTACCTCGTACTACTCTAACACAGTACACTGTTTATAGGCTGAAGTTACCTCGTACTGCTCTAACACAGTACACTGTTTATAGGGTTAAGTTACCTCGTACTGCTCTAACACAGTGGGTGATCTTCCTTCCTTGTCTCTGTCATCTGAACGCTTCACTACTAGGTATATCAAGTACGCACTTGCGCTTAACACGCCCAGAACCAGCATGTTTGCACATACACGGAGCGCGATAAGGGATTTTCTGAAATAAAATGATGAAGTCTCTGAATGCGTGAAAATGTGTTATTTTAGTGAGCGTCCCAAGACCTTTGGCCGCTGATTGTAGCTATAACGAATCCTCTGTAGCTTAGTGATGTGGTATCTGAAGTACTATTAAAAGGGTCATAGGTACAAAAGCAGCCTGACTGACATAAATAACAGTAACATTTTTTACCATATGGAACCCAATAGCTTTACGAGGTATATAAAAAACTTACTTATTTATAGTTTTCCCTTTTTCTACTGCCTCAACCATTTGCTCCTTTGAGGAAATAAGAGAAATTCAAAGATACGGGTTAAGTGAATTTCAAATCGCAAGAATCATTAAAGCCATAGGAAAGGATCACTTTGCTTCGCGCTATTTTTATTATTTTTTTATTTGATTATTATTTTTTTAATAAGATGGCGAGTAATTGAAACTTTCCTGTAGAAATTCAAAACTAGTTCACCCCTCATTGGTGAACCTGCACATTTTTAACTACAATTTCATAACAGAAGCCAAATCCGGAGTACAAAGAAGGTTCTTGGATATTTTTGACAATTATTGGGTTAAACCATTATTTCAAATGTTGTCTGCGATATGTCATCTATGATTGCTGCTGATTTTTATAAAGTTTTCCGGCAAAGGATACAAGTTATAACGTGGGCCGGTCAAAGAGGAGCTCATTATTACCAAAAGATTAGACCACGGGCTTACTTTAATAGCAGTAGTAAGCGAGGCTAATTTATTTTCCGCAGTTTCTCGCTCCGTGATAAGAAAATCCCAGGCTGAAAACACACGCCAGCCGAATGGATATTGATCATTTTGACCTGAAGACTTCACCTGACTCTGTTCGTGAGTGATACTGCAAGGAAAAAGTCAAGGTTATGCAAGCTGCATTTTAGTGTTTAACGATACGACTATTTGCTATGAGCAATGTAATCAATGCATTTTGTCCCTGACAAGATCTGACTGGAGTTCGTGTTGGCAGCGGTAAACGCCGTTAAAACTGTTACCAGCAGGCGAGAGAACGACTGATTCGGAAAAACAAAACCGGAATCTTCCTCTAAGTCAGATCAATACAATCCGTCGTGCATTTTAATTGTTATGGGTAACTTACCTATCAACTGTAAATCAATTAGTAGGCAATACTTACGCTCGGAGTACAGTGATGATACTGAAGAGATAAATGCCCATGAAAACCGCGAAGTAGGCCACCGGTAAGGGATACTCGATCACGCCCACCTGGATATTTTCATTTCCATAATAGCCGTAAAATAAAAAGGAGTACTCCAGATATCCCTGTTGGGGTAAAAATTGTAATGATGGGAGTCTTCGATACTCATGCTCTTTCTTACAATAACTCCAGAATGAACTCAATACAAAATTTCAAAGTTGGTGATGTAAGTATGGTCAATCACTACCCCATCCATTTCTTTTTACCCCATCGTTACGGTTGCATAACAGCCACAATTAGCAGTGAGATTAGCAAACACGATAACCAGCGCCAAGCACTCGAAGATGCGTTTTACAAAGTTCATCGAGGTTAACCTAGGATTAAATTGGTATTATCTATCCGCTGTGCTGTGTAATTTGTCTAGAAAACCTGGGGTACCCTGTCACCTAATCAGAAGCAAAACAAGAGCAGTATGCATTTGGTCACCCGCTTTCGTCTCACCTCAGGCAGATCGCCTGTTGTGCCAGAAGTTCTCACTGGCACCTAGAGACTGGGGATAAGACTTTACCTTGGCATCAAGAACTGCTGTAAGGCGCTGTGCTGTGTGTTTCTCATTCTCAGGAATACTCAAAGCTGTCGAAGGACTCATGAGCTGAAAGAAAAAAACAACAAAAAACAAAGAAGACGACCATTCGATTATCTGGGAACACACTCGTGATTCAGGTTTACAAGAAATATCAAATTTTATTAATACTCTCGGAGAATTAACATTTTCGAAACATTAACTACAGGCAGAAGCTTATAACCTAGGTTATCGTTTTCTACCGTGGGATCTCACAATTATAATCGCTTTTAAGAACTCAAGGTAGACTGTTGACAAAATTTTCCCTCTAATAGAAGAAGCATTTCAAAATTGCACATTGCAGTCAAAGGGTATGAAGATTCTTTGGAGGTAGTAGAACTTTTGCTGTTTGAATTTCCAAAGAAGGTGATTGTAAAGCTTACCTGTGGAGCTATAACGAAGATCGTTATAAAGGTTAACAGAATAAAGTTGATCCACGTCAAAGAACGTAAAAACAGAAAGAAGGAACCGATGCCAGCCCCAAAATGTCCTGAAGAGAAAACATACTATTGTTTGAGAGAGCTGCAAAAAGTCTGGCAAGTAGCGAGTTATTTGACTTATAGTTTCCTCGAGATTATTCAGTCAAGGGAAACAACGGGAGACCACAGTATTGAAGGTAATTAATTATGAAAAAGCGATTTCAATCTCTTTTGTTAGTTCAAAGTTGACTTTTTCCATCTGCTCACATCAACAAGGAAATATAGGATTGTTTAAGGAATTTGTAAAACCTTTGTAACTGTAAGGGGGTGGAAAGTTAAGAAATCCTTTTTTGGCATATTGAAATATTGAAAGTAACAAAAATAATGAAAAAAAATTCCTCCTCGTTCCTGTTAATGAGTAGTATTCTAGGGACATTCGGAAAACAACATTGGTAACTTTCCAACAATTCATTGTAATGGCGGTTGTAGATTCATGCTTAGCCGTTGTTAACCGCTGTACAGGATCAACCTGAACCTAAGACCAGTTATGTGTAGTTCGTTATTTTAGGTAATGAAACGAACGCACCAGCAATATTTCAAAACGGTTACACGTACCATACAATCTATTCGTAATCAGTGGTTTCCAAAACATAAATATGTTAAATTACACTAAAGCTAACTACCGACGCTAAATTAACGACAACAAAACGAAGGAAACCGGCGGAATGACAAGTAATACATACCTGACGGTTTGGGTATCTAAACGCGCGAGATGCAGCATAACGATCATACGACCACAAATTACATAACAGCAAAGACATTTTTCGCGCGAAAGCTTAAAATAAAAAGACCAAAGCGAGGGGACTGAAGTCTAGTATGCGGATGGACCGCTGGCCCATCGCATCAGGTAATCATCATATTTGCGGCTACAAACCTTGAATATTTTTTATCCTCTTCTCCCATGGAATGAAGAACACAATGAAGTTTTGGAATTGTCTTTTCACTTGTCGAAAAAGCTTTAGTTAATGAGAAGGAGAAGTTCATCATTCAGTCAGGTGACAACAGCTTCATGGAGAAAAATGATGGACGAGACAAACAAACAAATCAACAAAAACAAAAGTAAAACAAGGTTAAGAAGTGAGATAAAAAAAAAGAAAAAACCTACCCGATAGGGATGACAAATTACGTTTGTGGGCTGTTTTGGTTAATGTTGACTTTGGTAGTTTTCGCAGCCAGTGCCAGTTAAAAAGTGGACGAAACACAGCGGGGACACTCGAAGAAAAAATATACGAGAGGAAGAGCCGTTCCCCTGACAACCACAACCAACGCTTGTCTCACGCCCGCCCGCCCTCTTCACTAGCTGAGGGCCTGGAACAGAACTATTCATGAACTCTGATACGAAAACCTGGCTGCTATTGAAACAAATTATCCGTAATGTCTTGCCACTTAATCTGTAACTGCTTTATTGACATTTGAATAAAAGAAAAAAAAAAAAAAAGAAAAGGGTTCAAGCTCATTTTGAGTCGCTGGGCAGCTTTGGAATCGCATAATTTAGGTACTCCGCCTTATTGGAGCAGTCAGATCTGGACTACTAATGGCAAGAATTTAGCATTTTAGTAGTTAACCGATTATAATTGACATATTCCAAACAATGTCTATTGCATACCCTTATCCGAGACTCTTTTAAATGCTGCAGTCTGTTTAGATCCCCTGAATGCTGTTCGACGTAGTGTTTGGCGTTTCTGTCAAAGAAAAGGTGTCAAAGAAAAAAAAAAAACAAGCAGCATAGCTATACAATACGATTGAGTTGTTCATAAGAATTCTTGTGGATACACATTTCAGTAGCTCTTGGCTGAGACAAATTTCTGGCTCTGGGGAGCGCAGGTTTGCCCGAACGAATTAAATACAACTTGCTGGCCCAGTAGGGCCTACAATAATAAAAAGCGGCTCTACCAAAGATCTCTAGACCTCTTGTCTCTTGCGAAAATGGGCATGTTTACGTTGGAATACCTAATTTCAACACCAAGCTACTAGGATCTGCTAGGGTGTACACTGGGGAATTTAAAAAGAAAAGTATTCCAAAAATACTGAAATGAAAAGAAGACCACATAAAAACAACAACAAAATGGCAAAAAAAATTTTCAGAACTTTAGTGAAAACGAGGTCGGAGTGTGAATTTTCAGTAAATGACGTCATGGCGCATAAGATGACAAGGCGAGAGAATTTTATAACCATGTCCGTATTTGATAAATAACAAGTTCATCAAGCTCGTATACTGAAAGATAGATTTCATAATTGTTAAGCTATGTTTGATTGAGTTTCATCTTACTGTACAGTAACAAGTGGTTGAGAGGATGTGTCTGATGTGTCACCTGAGAATTTGTAATTTCTTGTCCATAGTCCATGGCTTTTCTTTTATACCCTTAATAACGTCTAATTGTAGCTGAATGTTCTCAAATACATCTGTAAACACCTCCTCTGTTGGCGTCTTATTGGGCACCTCACTGTAAATGGTGAACCAGAGGGTTAACCAAGGATGGAGCATTTTCCTTCTCTTCATTAGTGGATAGAAGAGGGGTAGGAGGGGAAGGTGGCTTGAGCACTGCCATGAAGTTTAGGAGAATGGTATAGGGAATTTTCAAAGAAACCAAACAAACTTTCCACTTGAAGGAAGAGGAAGTATTCGTATTCCATTTTAGGGCTGGTTAAAAACCAAAAACTTAAGGAAAGCGAAGAATTACTTCCGCAGCACATGACGTTTCTCACCTTAATGTTGAGACTGACGGCTCGCAGTTATTCTCGATTGATATCGGCTTTTCGCTAGCAGCTGAAGTTGGAGATCGTTTCCTAAGCCAGTGGGATCTTGACGGAGAATTGCTTTCTTTGGGCTCCTCTGGGGTATTTGTCAGTGAAGTCCTTGCATTAATTTCACACATTTCTAACCTTGCATCTTCCTCCGGACCTTTTGGGATAGAAATGTCACCGTCATGAATGATATATTTTGCAATGGTTGTCGAGTTGACTGGCGCGGTTTTCCTTTCCTGAGCTCTGCGACTTCTTTCGGGAAATCGTTTGAGAAATTTCTAGATCGTTCGCTACACATCACTGATAACAAACAAAAGTAGAAATTGTTGACCACAGCAGTTTTCATCGTTGCCATCACTTTCATCTTGGTCCTCTACATTAGGAGTTACGGCTGGAAAAACACACAGCAACAATTTTTTACTGTTCGACTCTGGGACTAATGGAAGGAAGATTCCCGTGAATCTTAAGGACAGTACCTAGAAATCTAATTAACGTCATCACTTGGTAACTGAATTTATGTCCTATAGTTGTTATGTACGATAAGAACTTTACCTCTTATTTCTTCGGATGTCCTGTTGCCATTTGTCGATATATCCGACATTTCTTGGCCAATTTTGTTTTGTTCTTTAAAGACTTCAGGAGAACAATTAAATCAATGAGGCCACGATCGATGAAATGTAGTAATCAAAATGCCGGGACACTATCAGTCTGTGCAACTGGCTTAGATAAACCATTCGTTGCTCGGGTATACATTTTGATACCTCTGATAAACTGTCTGTTTCTATTCCGTCAGTTGTAGGCCTGTAACTGAAGAAAATTGACTGTTTGTCATTCACTTCAATTGTCCTAATCTTGAGAAACACTTTAACTTTATAACATCATGGTTCTAGCAAGCCTTTGAGAATATCTAAAAACTTGTACAATAGAAGTCGCGTGTACTCAGTCTTTTACTCCTACTGAGTGCTGTATTTGTATCTAACTTTGGATAAATTTTCAGCTCTTAGCCATGTTATTCCCACATTACCGACAGTCGCCGGTAGAGAAAACGTAACACGGGTCAAAGTCTTTCAATGACTTGAATGACACGGACATAAAACATTTTGTTTAAACAACATTTTACCGTTATATCACTGAACATTTTGTCAGTGCATGTTTGACTTGAAATGTAAAACAAACTTATTAATTTACAATGATTCCAACCCCATGTAGATATTTACTTTTCTCTCCTACACAACCGTTCTATCTTCATATTAGTTTATTCGAAGACTAGTCAAACTCTACACATCTTAGCACAGGAGGAAACCATTTTTATTATTCATCATTTCAGGCGTTTGACTGGTAGTAAGCTAAATACAGTACACAAGTACTTGAATGACCTCAAGTCTAAGTCTTTTACCGATCATTGTTGTGCTCAGCTTAATCAACTGTTGCCTGCAATGTATCAGTCTTGATATAATGACAAGATTTCAGATTGTGTACTGAAAAACATCAAGTCTGCGCGTAATTATGGCTCGCTTTAAAATGTAGCAGTAGACGTACTAGTTCCGTAAAAACACATAATAACCGAAAAAAAATCCTTAAAAGCTGTTATAAGTCTTCAACAAGACTGAATCGATTACATCTGAAAAACCAGATGAGGTGAACAGACCCAGTTTGCGAGGATATACAATCTGGGAATTAAAGTCTTCGATATAGATATATAGCATGTTGTTGGTGTAATAGAATGGTCGGAATATTATGATTTGAAACAAATTGTACTTTCTAAATAAAGCGCTAGTCTTCGATATGTATGTATTTATGTATATATATATATATCAGTTCCTACCTTTTGTTTAGGAGATCATCTAAATCTTGTTGTTCGGCTTTGTACAACTCAATTTTGTGTCTGAATCTGTTCAACAACTGGAATCACGGTTGTATACGGTATTTGACGACATCTTAGAATTTATCATGAAAAGTTTTGCTTGCTTTTTTTAAAATATGGCTTTCATCACTACCTACGTTTTTGAAAATGATCTTGCTTTATTTTGTCAATGAATTGTTCTGAGAACGAATTAAAAAGATTCGCGGCTTTAATGATATGAATAAAATCCATCGGTGAATTAATTATTGATGATTTTCAAGGAACACACTGTTTTGAGGTGTTTCCGTGATGTTCAAGAAATTATCGGTGCAGTGTCGGTGAGTCAAAAAAAAAAAAAAACCCTAGTGAACATTTATTCTTTTACTCAGATGAAATCCTTTGAACAGAGCTAAGAAATCAAATCTTTGCTGTTTGTGTTTTGTGATGTTAACGTTACTAACAACACAACCTTTTGTTGTTACTAACACCTTTTCAAAACTCTCTAAGTGTGGCGTTTTCTGATCGTTCCAACTCTCAGTTTTGCACAGGTTACCAAATCAACAAGTCTTAGCTTCACCTAACGTGACTTATCTTTCCATATCTATTGGAACAAGCGATTCAATTAAAATTGAGAAACCTAACCTCGATTCGAAATGTATGCTGAGGAGGAGGTCATTACCATTTCGATTTTATGCGTAGCAGGTATTCTATAAATTGACCAAACTAAATCAAGTTTCATAAAGTTATAGAAATGGGCGTTTCCAGCTTTAAGGTCTTGATCTAATTTTAAACGCCAGAGTAAAAGTGCCAGCACAGTGTCAGTGACGCATGTAGTAGGTCTAAAACAAAAACACAAACCCAGATTCACGGGGTGATCAAGCAGATGTTGTCATTGACTTCACATCAAACTAAATCAATAACTGACAGATAATTCAAGTATATTAAAATGAATGACTTTGCATCTAACTAAATGACGAAGTGAAAAGATTATTGAAATAAATCAGGATGAATATTAGTATCGGATCGCTCGAGTTCAAGTTATGTCCTCTGTTTTTTTTCCACTCCCATAGGTCATAGATCCCTCTTTTTCAAAGAAGTCGCCTATGTTCTCTTGCTCTGCGGTCTAATACCTGAAGTCCACCATTATCGGCAAAAAATTATTGGCAAAAAAATGAAAGTTGTTTCATCAATAAACCAGAGAGAAGACTTCCAAAAATCTCCAATCTTATAGTCCAGAAAGAGTTAAACATGTCATATTTTCCTTGATATGAGCTTTGCATGTGCTTACCTTTAAGTCTTACTCAGAATGCCATGTCCTACATTTTTGAAATCTTAGGTTATGCAAAGTAGTTTTCTATATATAATCTTCAGCGGGACTTGTTTCACGCGTGCTCCGAACGACGGCCTATGAGCAAGAGACCCTTAGTTGATAGATAATTTCGAGGATATTAAACGCGAAGGATGCTGTGACAAGACAAGAGTGTGCGAGGAGATTCGCAGCACGCCCTCTCCAAGTAGTACTTTTCTAGAAAAACACTTAAATTTAGATAACAACCAGATAGAGCTTTCTGGAATTCTTTTCAAGTTTTTGAATCATTTCTTTAAACTGTAAGAGTGTCCTCGATCTCTATTAAATGCAGAAAATTTTTCGCGATCTGACGCGATCTTAGCACCTCGGGGTTTTCCGGAAGGAGTCGCAATGTTTCCGCACAACGAAGCCTGTTCCGAAGATTTCACGAACGCAAATGAATCCCATCATAAAATTATGCATTCGAACGCCAATGTTATCGTTGTGTATACTTGAGTGGTATTCTTGGATTTGAGGTCGCTCATGAATAGAATGACGAACATTTGAAAAATTAGTTTTCACCAATAATGCCAGGTAAATTGCGAAGACAAGATTACGACCTCGTCGAAGAAGCTTACGACAGTAAGTCCCCAGTGCATAACGAAGACGCGTTCGATCATGGAATTGCCTTCAAAGTTAAGGTACTGCAGCTTTTGCCTTTTTTAATTTAATCTAAAAGCGTAACCAATGAAAGACTAGTCGCTGGACTAAATCATTTTGTAGGAGTTTCTTAAAAGGGTTCTTAGATTGTTTCCGTTAGCTTTTGAATGTTAGCTGTCATTATTAATTTCAATGGCAGCAATTATAAATTGGTTCGGGACAAACGCAGATGTTTACGCTTTAGAACTGTGCTAAAGGTGTGAATAATACATATTTGTCTTCTTTATTCTTTCTCACAGTATATTGGAACGAAAGAAATCCATAAACCTAGCAGCAGAGCTGAAATTGTCACTGCTATGCGACGAATACGGGTAAAGTGGGAAAACCTCCGAGTTTTGTTTGATATCGTTAGATAATTACCATTTTAAGAATTCTTTGCGCGTATTTCTGTAATATTGCGTCCAGTGAGCTGTTTTTATGATGTAGTTTAGGGCGGTCTTTTCTGATACAGATTCCGTACTCTTTTTGTTATTATGAAATTAAATTTAAACTTTCAAAGAGTTGTCAAGACTATGCATGTCTCGCCTGAGGCAATGAGTCGCCCTTGACACTGACCCTTAAGGTTTTCATCACCAAAAATTTTTTAGTGAACTCCAGGCAAATTTTCGATTAAAACTGTAAGTTTAGTTTCAGTGTCAAAAAATAATTAGTTTGGATGGTTAAAATTATCAACTTATTCCTTTCAGTTGATGTTTTTTAAGTGATTATCAATGAAAAAAATTTGGTAGATTAAATTATTTTTAATTATTTATTCAGCATATTTCTCCCAAAAATGTGTTACTGCAGCAGAATATTTGTCTGATTTTGTAATTATTCATTCCCCAGTATGAGTACAAAGTTTATGGTGCCAAGAAGGAAAGGACAGAACTCTCAATTGCAGTGAGTGGAATTAAAGTGGTTCGAAGGGAGGAAGGCAAACGCAGCTGGATCACACATCATGTAAACATATTTTTTTTTTACCATGCTTGTTTTACAGTGGTTTTTCTTGACTGGCTGGCTTATATTTAGATGTCTGGCAATTTCCTGTTGTTTTGGCTCAAAAGGATGTCGAGTGGCAGATCAATCTTAGAAAAAAAACTGTTGTGATGTTCACGACTGACATTTATTTGGCAAAACTTGGTCAAGTTATGTCCCCTTTACCTTTTTTGCCTTTAAACAACCTTACTATTTGCATAATGAAGTTTACAAGAGAAGCTGCACGTGTTGACTGTAAGGTTGACGAGGTAAGACAAGGTCAGAATGGTAAAAAAATTAATCTCCTTGAAAGACCAAAGTTCTCAGAGTTCCATGTAACCATAAAATCAATGGAAGTTTTTCTCTTTGGTTTGTTTCAATTTGCTGGATGCAAAATTGTTGCAGCATTTTTAGACACTCCAGAAGTTTCAGAATTCTAAGGATTCATAGCTTAGATTGTTATTTGAAGTTCATTCTAGAAATTTTTTACACCCAAGTCAAAATGTTCATTGTGGGCTAGTTTGTGAGAAAATTCTAATGATGATGGGTGTTGGCTCGGGTTAAGCTTTGATCTAGCACCTCTGTACTAATTTGTGGACATTGCTAACAACAGAGTGAGGTAAAGTGAGAAATTAAGCCAAGTGGCTAGATGGCTGTGGCTTTTGCCCAGTTTCTTTAGCATGAAGTTATTTGGAGTATTATTAAAATAAACTCCCAGTGGTTGGAACATCATTTTATTGAAGCTCATCTAGGAACAGTTCATCAGGTTCTCCTGACAGTTTTATTCCACCCACTTGTACTCCTTAGTGGGCAGATACATGTTTTATTGAAATGATACTTCCAATTTGTTTCAGAGAAAGAAAAACCCCTCTGTGGAAACAGAAGTTATGCAATACCCCATTAACAGGTAATGAAATGACGAATGGCTCATCATTAAACATGGTTCAAACTTTATAAGAAACACAAATTCTAAAAATAACATTGCCAGTTTATCCCAGATCTAAGTGGTTGACATTTTCTCTAACATTTCAGAATTTTCTATGTATCGCATGATTCCCAAGATCTGCAGATCTTTAGTTTTATTTCAAAGGATGATGATCTTTTTAAATGCAGTGTATTTAAAGCAAGTAATAAGGTAAGAGTATTGATTTCTGATCTTAACAGTACTTACAAATGCAACTGCATTGAGCATAGGCTGTTTTATCAAGATATTATACCAGTATTAAGATTGCAGACTGAAGGAACCTTCAAGTGTAGCATTCAGTGCTTGTAGAGGAAACACCTTGTGGTACTCTCTAATACATGCTCTTCCATGAAGAAGCTTCTACAACTCAGGCTAAACAAGGAAATAAGCACTCCTTATATGGAAGAACAACTCCCATTCTACTCCTCTCCCTCTCATCTTTTTTGAAGTAGTATAGATACAAAGAAACCAGTTTCTATTGTCAGCATGTTTTAAATTTATTGAGCTTCAACTACGTACAGTGGCACCAGTACATGTAGGACTAAAGTTTCTTCTCTGTTAAGCCTCTTGCAGTTTTTCTGTCTCTCGGTGCTTACATTTGCATGTAGAATGTTGTACTTTAATTGTCATCTAAGGATTTATCTGCTGAATTTGGTCAAAAGAAAGACATGGTAAGTGTTTAGAAAAGGGAAAGTTGATTAGGGCAATTGTGTCTTTTGATTAAATAATCCCTTAGGTTTTTGTTTTAACATTTGTTGAGGTTGATCTTGTAAGTTGTTTGATTATATTTTTAGGCAGATGCTGTACACATTGTGAGAACAGTAGGCCAAGCTTTTGAGGTGTGTCACAAGAGAACACTCAGTCAAGTGGCTCAAGAAAATAATTTAAAGAATGAACAGGACAAACTAGGTAAGTAGTGGATCAGCAAGAATTGCCAGAAATAAAGGCTTCCTTCAGGGCGCACACGTGTAAGAAACTGGTATTAACTTGTGATGGTTTTCTAACCCCCAAGTACAAATCAATAATTTAAGTGTTTCTAATGGGAAAACTACAGTTAGTACTTTGTTTTTTAAAAAACAGCACAATATGTGGAGGAGTTAGGGCATGCAAAGCCTTGAAGTATTGATATCTACAATGTGCATGTAGACTTGATATCAATCACTTATGCCATGACAACTAAGTGAAATATTATGAGTGGCTTTTATTCTCATTTCCTCAGAGAGTGATGGGCCTGCAAGTGATGTACCCATGGTAACAGAAGGGACAAATTCTACTGGGGGACAGGTGAATGTTTTTCTTGCTATCGACAATGAGTGAATGATATTTTGCATTTACTATGTGAGAAGTTATCACCAATTACATGTAGCTGTAAAAATATCTTAAATTTCTATTTCATATTTTGTTTGGAGACGTCTATGCAGTAGCAAGAGGGCCTTTATACAGTGTAGCTGCATTAAACTTTTCACCACTAAGCAATGCTGTAATGGGGAAAGGAGGTTTTATGGAATTTTACATCTTCACTACAAAAGGGAAGGATTAGCAAACATTTGGTGTTTTGAACAAAACGTTCTGGGCTTAAGGCATGTAGGGAATGCTTGAAATTAATATTAGTTGTCCTTGTGGCCTTTTCAGATTGATTTCTCATCAGACTCGGTGTTGGCTACTAAGGATTACCCACCAGAGGCAGATGCTGGTATTGCACCCTTAACAATTCAACAGCTGCGTCACATATATCAACAGCAGCTGGATCATCAAAGGCAAGAGACAAAGGCAGCCCAGGCACAGATAAAGCTTTTGACTCAGCATCTTGATGATGAAGCTGCAGCAAGGCAGGTTCTCCAGGTACAGTGCGATAACATCTGATTTGTCATTTTAAGGGTTTTATTCATGAAATTTTTTGTTTGTGCTATAATTGCAATTTTCTAATCTTGGTCAAATGGAATTTGTCCTTGTATATACATGTAGGGGTACTGAACATCGTAAAATACAATTTATGCTCAGCTGATATGTTGCAAATGGTGGTAAAATGAACCCTTAACAGCCTAACATCAGTATGTATATTCTCCATACTGTTTTCCATACATTTCTTATGGTGCAGACAAGGAGAATTTTTTTAATAATCAAGAGCTTCCTTAGTTGATGATCATTTCCTTTATTCTTGTGACCTTTTAAGTATGATTCAGGGGTGATAAAGTAGGGAGAAATTAGATGTTAGTGACTCTTACAGGGTCAAAGGGTTAAAAACCAGTAACTTTGCCATCTGTGTCCTTTATACTGAAAGATGGAATTTCGTTTAAGTTAACATGCTTGAACTCTTAGTGTATAAAACTACTTCAGGTAGAGTGGCCTAATTGGATAAAATCTTGCATTGGGATAGGTTAACAAAGCAAGGTACTTGGTGTGAAATTGCGAGTTGAAAACAAGACTAAGTGATATTGTTTTGTATCTTTTTGTTTTGCACCTGGGATGAAAACAAACAATTTTATTGCTGGCTTCTTTTTTCTTATTTTCATTCAATTATTATGTGATTCAAGGACAATCAATCACGTGACTTGTGAATTCCACATAAATTCCGCTTGAAAACAAATACTGAAATTCCCTCGTCAGGTAATTAATTTTCCCAAAGAATTATATGTTTTCTAAATCATTTGTTCCCCAAGTAGACTTCACTGTGAAAAATTTATTTTCTAATGAGTACATTATTTTATGTTAGATGGTTAACTAGATGCATATTATATTCTATAGAACCAACTAGACCAAGTGCTCAAGCAAAATAAGGACTTGATAACAACAATAACACAGTTGGTTGATCAAGTTCAGACTATGCAAAATCAAATGCATGGTCGTGGTGATTCTGGTGTAAGCCTAAGTCTGGATATGGATGGAAAGATATCTTCAGGATCACCATTACACTCACAATTTTCATCATCTGGTGGCTCCTCTCCAGTCAAGGATGGGTTGTTATCAGCAGCAACAGCTGCTCAGAAACGTCGCATGCTTGGTGATCCTGTATTTCCCACTATTCCTCCTCCAGCTGTGACTCCAAGCCCTGTGATGTCACACAGAAGTGTGATGGATCCTCTTGATGGTAGTATTTCCTCCCTACAGTCAAGCAGCAAAGTTGCAAGTGCAGAATCTTTTGTGCGCAATGCAGTCCCTGAAAGCAGCCCACTTCCTACCCTTGTGGATTTGAGCTCTTCTGATCTTGAAATGGTTGAACCAAGACACGAACCTTTCCCTCAGCAGTTTCTACAGTTCACATTTGACAGTGGCAATTCAGCCAGCAATGGTAGTTTAACACAGTTTAATGGAGTAGGCAGCAAAGCCAACACATCTTTACCACCTCAAAACAGCAGTGGAACAGCTCCTGTTTTGAATGGCTCCTTTTGATATCAAGTTTGACAGATAGTCTTCAAGTTGGCAGTCGTGGGGAATGCTTATCTTGGTACAACTTTTTTTAAGATTTTCAAGATAGCTATTTTTAATTATCTTTCTTCTGAATGTAGTGGAATGAAACATCAAGTCAAATGCCCAGGAATGAAAGATATCACTGACAGAAGAAAGTGAATTAAATGGCCATAAGAAGGGTACAGGGTCAATTTTAAATTTTGTACGGGGCACATCTCTAACCAGTGATTTGCCTTGCATTGTCTGCGATTACAGTAGAAGGATCCAGATATGTATCTGTGGTTGACAAAAAAGAATTTACAAAAACTACCTAGTGCACTAGGGAATATATAATTAATTTGTCAGACTCAAACCTAAGTAATGACTGAAAGAATTTAACACTGCTTATTGCTTGAGAAGGGATGGTGACAGATCAGAGGGTGAAACTGTCTTGAAAAAAAATTTGATGACTAATGTCATACTTAACGGCTATGCAACAACATAAGCAGATTGGTGGCATGGCAGTCATTTGCAGGGCAAAAGGTAGAAGTTTGTCAGTTACATCTTTAGTGAATGGTTAAATGTTTGCCCATATTAGTAATGAGGATGCACCCAATAGACATGTGTGGGCTGCTAATGGACAAATATACGTAAGAGCAAAAATGCATGTAGTGTAATTTTTCTCACAAGTTTTGTATTAATATTTTCAAATTAATTGTATATAACTCACAGTCACAGAAGCCTAAATTTGTGCAATGTATATCCTTTATTTTTAAGCACTGAATTTATGCATTGGTATATTTGTACAGCTTTATTAAATATGTCACAGTTTTACCAAACTTTTATATTATTGAAAAAATACTACAAATTTCTTATCCCATTTGAAACATAAACATTTTGTACATGCAGATGCAAGTATGAGCACTATTTTTCCTTAAAGTACTTGTAAAATAGTGGGCAATTACCTTGAAAAAGCTGAGAATGCATACGTTTTGGGAATTATGCTCTTTAAGGATTTCAATTATTTTTTATTCAGATACTATTGTTAATCAAAGTAGAGGAAGTAATGAGAATGAAAAGTGCATTTGTGGGGTGCTTTTTATTCTGATATCAGTCTATCTTTTCATGTGTAACTGTTCTCTTGAATACAGTCGAATGAAATTGAGAAATTTTAGGTTATCAGTATTTGATGTTGACTCTAAACAAGAAAAGTATTTTAATGTAAAGGTGGCCAAACAATCCAACACGTGACATGATAGCTACAGTACCACTCAGTAGTAAGTTGATGGTCTCAACTTGGAACTCAATTTATTAAACTTCATGATTGTATAGAACTCTGATTTACAATGCCATTATTCCAGAGCTTGTTTTACTACAATTTTGATATCATAAATTAGTACCATTACAAAAGTCATTCAGATTTATTCAAGTAGCTTTGTAATGAAATGACACAGGGTTATATTGCTAGCAGGAACTGTCAATTTTGTATCCCATTCTAGTCCTAGCTTATGAGATTTGAATATTTTTGCATCTTCAATACAGAGGAAAAATTGCATGTTATCATGACATATCAATGGCACATGGTAATATTTAATCTTTGATCACAAGTTATAACAGTACATGATACATTTTTTAAATTACTGAGGATATTTAAACTTAAAATATTCTGGAGTGAGGGAACACTAGTGAAGATGGCTTTTATTGCAATGAATGAGAGCACTGAGTAATATATAGAAAATAAAATGAAAATTTAATGAACATTGATTTAAAATGTGTTACTTATTTAAAATAAGTTATTTAAGTTACTTAAAATAAGTTATTTAAGTTACTTATTTAAAATAAGTTACTTATACAGGGTTACATGGATGATAAAGACACAAGAAGAACAAGAAACCTTTTGCATCTCTAATCCCCTTCCCTTGAGCAAATTGAGACTTCATTCTTTTGTATCAATTGCAACACTTGATTAGCAGGAAGTGAAACCTTTAGTATCAATTGATTTTGTCTGTCTTCTATCTGTTTTCTTTTTGGTTGGATGGCCCCTTTTTCAGAAAACAGTTTACCACTCCCATGCCACATTATCACCCTATTTCCATGATAAGGCAAGGATGCAGCAAACCCCTGTCATGGTGTGACAATTTTCTAAAGCCAATTAGCAGCCACATATAAGTATCAGGACTTTTGTTCCTGAGCTTTGGTTTCTTGCATTGTGACCTGTGTTGTTCCAGCTCCTTTAGATTATCCATTTAACTAACAAGAAACTTCCTCTTAGAATGTGAACACATTTTGGTGTTATCACAATATACTGGTAACCAGCCAGTCAATCTTGGAAATGCCAAAAGAACATATCACTCCATGCACCTAAGTGAAATCTGCAGTAGAGGTTTGCACCCAAGAGTTAGTTGCCATTGTCATGGCAAGACAGCCAGCTGTTTGTAGTTTTCAGGGTTAAAATAGGCAGTCTGAGACTGCATGTGGCTACTGATATAGCACAATTTTTATAGCATTGAAAAGATGATTGTAGAGTGACACTAGAAGGTAGTGAAGATTTCTATTCACTTGAAAAGTAAGAGAGATGATTCAATAATATAGTGACTTCTTGACATTCAACTAATAATTAAAGGGTAACAAATTATCATATTACCAACAATAATAGTCACTTTGATAACAGTATTAATAGTAATGATAACTGGGATACAAGTCATTGAGACATACATACATACATACTTAAGGTATCAAAGAATAAACAACACAAATAATACCCTAAAAAGGAAGTTTAAGAGGTTAACCCTATGTAAATAAACTTCCAAAGAAATAAAATTTAAAAATGTATGCTTATAATAAAATCTAAGATGGATAAAAACCTAAGAAATACGCATGTATAATTTAAGAGCTGTTATGAAACGTGTTAAGTTACCTATCTCAATGACATTGGCGGGCAGGTCATTATATTCACGAATGATTTTAACAAAAAAAGAGTATTTATGACAATTACATTTTGCCAATTTAACCTGCAGTTTGTAATTGTGGTTGGACCTAGTACGTTTTGAAGCAAATTTAAAAAAATCACAAAAATGAAGGCAATTCAGCCCGAATACAAGTTTATAGCATTCTACCAAGGAAAAATATAGCCTTCTATCAGTCAACTTCGACCAATGTAACATTTCACAACGATCCTCATATGCCATCTCACCCCTTTGCTGACCTAAAGCCAATCGAGAGGCTCTTCTGTGAACTTTCTCTAAGAGAAAAATNTGCCGGAATGACGGAATGACGGAATATGACCCCAAATCCTAAAACCCGGAACGGATGTCAGGACATGTTGCACGAAGTTTGTACAAAGACATTCAAGCACTTGGCTCATTCATCCCCAAGACGATAACGAACGTGACTAAAACCAAGTGTTGATTTTTTTCCCTTTACTGAGTGTTATGAGTAATTATGAACCATTATGCATGAAAGGTAGCTGCGTTGTAAACCTGTTTAATTATCTTTTGTTGTGCTAAATTTGCCTTGAATTTTAGCAATAATAATAATAATAATAATAATAATCTAATATTTATATTGCGTAGATTAACATGTGGATATGATCAAATGTGCATCACAACACTTTTCGGGGGACTTTGGCCAGACTGCATCAGCAGTTTACAAATAATCGAAGGAAATTTATTAGAAGATGGCGGCCTAAAAAATGTGCACTCGTACGCCCTAAATACGCCGGCACTGCAGGCTAGGTTTACAACGCAGCTACCTTTCAGGTATAATGGTTTATAATTATTCATAACACTCAATAAAGGAAAAAAAAAAATCAACACTTAGTTTTAGTCACGTGCATTATCGTCTTGGAGATGAATGAGCTAAGTGCTAGAATGTCTTTGTACAAACTTTGTGCAACATGTCCTGACATCTGTTCCTGGTTTTAGGATTTGGGGTGATATTCCGTCGTTCCAGGTTTTAGGATTTGGGGTGATATTCCGTCGTTCCAGATTTTAGGATTTGGGATCATATTCCGTCATTCCGGCATTCCAGCATTCTGGCATTCCATCGTTCCTGCTTTTTGGGTCGCCCATCCCAGACGCTCAAATACTGTGGGATTTTGATTTTCTTTGATTTTCTTCAAGGGCGAGCTTCGGTCCGTTTGGATGGATTTTCGATTGGAAGGTACTCGGAGAATCGCGCATCTTTTGACCTTAATGCTGCGAAGTTTGAAAGTGGAGCGTGCGATTTTCGGGGTGAAAATCGCTCAGGCGCTTGAACCCTTTCAAAAAAGGTTTCCACCCTTGTCTTTCGTTAGATTAACGACGAACTCAGACTTATTCAAAATTGCTGAAAAAAAAAACATTTTTGAGGCAAAGGGACGACTTTACATGCACCACAGGTAAAGTAATTCAACGTTTATTTATCATTTATTTATATACATTGCCAGCAATATATCACTATAGGTGAGGCAAACGGTAAATCTGGTACATTCACTATAAAACAACAGTCGGTTACACAGACATATTGTATGGGCACAGGGAGCCCAGACAAGCGACAAGTCTGGTTGAATGTATGGGAGAATATTGAAGAGTCTTATTATCGTAAACTTATATCTTGAAATGTCTGAGTTAAAGCTCAAAGTAAATGAAAACCTACCTCACTTGCTGTGTACGATTTGTCGTTTCTGTGGCTCAAAATGGCGAATTTGAGCAATTTGGTGGGTTTTGCGTCGACTGTTACCATACGTTATAAGGAGACAACTATACGTTATAAGGAGACAACTATACGTTATAAGGAGACAAGCTTGTCTCCTTCTTATAAAGTATAGTAACAGTCGACGCAAAACTATGGCAAAACCCACCAAATCGCTCAAATTCGCCATTTAGAGCCACAGAAATGACAATACACAGCAAGAGAGGTAGGGTAACATTTATTTTGAGCTTTAACTCAGACATTTCAAGATATAAGTTTACGACAATAAGACTCTTCAATATTCTCCCATACATTCCTTCACATTTCGAATAAACAACCAGACTCGTTGCTTATCTGGGCTCCTTGTGTTGTTAGTAGCAAGCTCATCAGCCAGGTCATTAACATAGTTCCGCTTTGCTGCATTACACTCTTTCTTAACAGAGTTGTTCAAAGTGCGCCATCTCATCCACAAGAAATCTGTGTTTACTCACTTTGCCTTCCTGAAGAGATGTTTTTTCTTCCGACAGAGCTGAATGAGTTCCGCTGAAATCCAGGGAGGATTAAATTTGTTGTCTCTCATAATACAAGACTTGCTCATTATCATTTTCTTTGGTCCCGCAGTCAAAAGCATTTCATATTTAACTCATCAATTTCAATGTCTGATAGATCCCTTTTGCAGTTTGTGCACTTCAAAAAGGTCTGAATACCATCATTAATGCCTGTGAAGCTTAAAATATTGTTCTCAGTTTGAAGAAGTATTTAACAGACTAGCTTAGTTTTGCATAACCTTGACAAGGTTGTTAGATGACAGTTTGCTAAGGCAAGGTAGTGTGGTTATCTAATAGTAGGGTAACTACGAGCTAATGTGACCATATAGGCAGTCTGTTCACATATGCGAAGTGCTGTGACCATGTATGCTAGGAAAGCCCCAAAATGGGTTCTTATGGTAGAAAGCTGAGTGATTTGATAAATTCAGTGGACATTAACTTTCCAGTTGAGTGACTTGACTCCAACAATGATTACAGCCCAGAGGTCACTTCCACAAACATTAGTCTTGATCAGAAAAACTTTCACTTGGACGATCATACTCCCCAGAGACACTCTTTGGTTCATTAAGACTTCATATGTGTTAATTAGTAAAAAGGAATTAAAGCCAGTGATTTCCCAAAATTGGAGTGATTATCTCATTGGTTAGGGAAACTTAAAGAATATTTTGCCAAGCTGTACATTCCTAAGATCATTGAAAGCTTTGCTTCAAGTACTTATTGCATTTGTTTGTAAAAAAAAATCATTTTTGAAGACAAGACTAACTGTACAAACTAGATGAATAAGCACAGTAATAAATCTAAAGAGTTTTCATTTTTGCAACAATAAAATTCACTTTGGACTCAAAAATATGTTTTCTTTAAACCCACAAAATCACCTAACACCAACACAGCTACATGAAATTATCCATATTATCAGAAAGAAAAATGAAAATGTTCCATACTAGAAAATTAGAATTAATGTAGAACATTTTTTTCAAAGTTGTTCTGAATAACATTTCATAGGTGAAAGGATTCCATCCATGAATGACTTCTGTCAGCCTGAAGTTTGTAGTAAATGTATCTGACAATTACAAGGGGAAAACTCCCTTTATTTGTTCTATTAGATGTTTCTTGTAGTCATCTACCAGTTCTATAAATACCAGTAACTTAAATACAATAATTAGTACAACACGCTACACAAACTGCAACAGCAGAGCTCAGTGATAATAACTATTAAGATTTAATGCACTTTCTCCCTTCTTAAGGCTGTAAGCCCACCACATTACCTGCAGACACCTACATACACATGCATAGTTGTGGCCTACCCTGTCCATGAAACATGACAGACCACTTCCCTTAGTTACCACAACGTGATTTACAAAAAAATTGAGAAACAAACTCTGCAAATTGAGCAAGAAATCATTTATTGAAGTCTGCTATTGTAAACTATCATAATTTGTGTGTCATGTAAATCAACATCACCATTTTTCCCCTAGAGCCTTAAGCTTTGGTAAATAACAGTTATGCTTGTCCTTAGCAGATCACATTTCTCAACTTTTCCCTGAAGTGTTGATCAAGTCTCCTTCACTGAGACCATTGAGTTTATGAGTATGAGAAGATTTTGCAGTGAAGCAATCATGTCTAAACATGTGATAACATCAGTGAAGCAATCATGTCTAAACATGTGATAACATCAGTTTTGATCAGACAGCTGACCAAGTCTTCACCACTAATTAGTACTAAAAAGCCCAACTAAACCTATATTTTAGAGTTTGTATGTGAACATCAGAGTTGTCCTTAGTTTGTGGTGATGATTAGCTACTGGCAGGCTGAATGTACTCTAGTGGACTATGTGAAGATGATGACAAGGATGATGCTGAAGATGGCTGCTCCACAGATGATGAACCAGGTGTAAGGGCACTGGAATTTGCAATGCGTTCAACTAACAAGGCATGCAGATCATGAACAGCGTCATTGTGCTGTAGTGACAAATAGAATGATAAATACTATTACCATTTGGCTACTGCAAGTAACAATTATGTTAATAATTGATTCAGAAACAACAAAAGTACATGTGATTAAATTACCTAAATGGTAATAGGAAATACTATCATTGACTAAGTTGAGCAGAAGTACTGGGCACTATTCTGAGATTCTATTTTCGGCACTCTTGAGTATTTTACCCTCAAAATTACAGAAAACAGGACGACCTAAGATTGTAAGTCAGGCTACAGGCGTTAAGCTTTCAGTTGGACTGATATCTCATGTGTAAATCTGCCCTTTTTAAGATGCCTGTTGACACCCATGTTACGAAGGAATTTATTTCCTTGGTCAGCTATGCACCCTAGCAGTTCTGGAACTCCAATAACTACAAGACTTTGCTACTGACTAACACATGCATAAAGCCCTACAGCAGAGCATTGTTTACAAGAGCAGTTGTGTTCTTCTCTCAAACTGTTCACTACAGTTATTTCATATGTATTCATTGGGACTGATAGCAGGAGGATACTATATCTTTCTTTTGTGTGTTCCCACTTAGGCCATGCTAGTGAGGTCTGGGCCCCCTCAATCTACTGTCCATCATTTACGTATTCTAGAGGGTGTTCAACGTTGGGCAACTCGTTTCATTTTGAACTGTAGTTATAAGGTATCGGAAAGACCTGACTATAAGTCCTGCTTAAAATGCTAAAACTGTTACCATTATGTTATTGGCACGAACTTTGAGACATCTGCTTCTTCTACAAGTGTGTGCATAAGTACTACAATATTAATGTCAATGAATATATCAACTTGATCACTGGCCATACTTGGAATGCCAACAACTTTAATTTGCGACCAAGTCGTGTTTGTACTTCCTTATTTCGTGAACAATATTCCGTTAGATATTCAGGAAACTATAGCTCTTTCTACCTTTAAAGACCCTCTATTTAACTATTTCTTTCAGAAATTTATCATTAACTTTGACACATCTAGAATTCAAACATGGAAAACAGTCTGCCCACATTGTCGCTCAATTAAAGAAAGAACTGTTGTTGATTATTATTTTTATTTACATATGTTTTAGTATAGTATATACTCATGGGGGCTGACCTCGCTGGGACTTCGAGTCCGTACGTTAGTCCCTCAGTTTAGTACCTTTTTTTAATTCTTCTTTATCATCATTCTTTGTCACTAAATGGAAGTTACTATAAATAAATAAATAAATACTACTCTGCACTCCTCTGAGTTAATAATGAATGAATGAACTTTAATAATTACTCCTGTACAGGCCTTTTGGCAACTATTTATAATGGTAGACAATTTACAATCACAAATGAACAACTTAAAATAGGGTAATAAAAGTGAAAAATATACGTGTCCAATGGGTATCATACAAAGACTACCGGTATTAATGTGCCCCTCTGAAGGAGTCCTTCAAAGAATGTTTCAGTGACCTTACTGAAGGCAAGTTCACTAGGTCACTTAACTTAGGGAGTGTAATAGTAAAACTGCTCTATAGGCAAAGGTTCGTTGAACGTTTGCGGACTTATAAAAAGGGATCTGAAGTTTGTTGCTATGCCGCGTGACTTGATTATGTATGGTGGTGCTAAATTTTTTACACACTTATAGGCCATAACTGTATCTCTAAGTTGTAATGTCTGGCTCACTGACAACCAGTTAAGTTGGTGCAATAGGGGAGAAATAATTGTCACTGAGGGAGTGTATAGTCAGGAAATACTGTACTAAGCCCTGAATAGATGGTACTTCTAATAGTACACATGTACCTGAGTGATGGCTTCTAAAATAATTTTATTTGTCTCCTACATATGATAGATACTGACACCAACACATTCTACTTTCAGAATAACTGAAGTGTATTTTTGTGACAAGAGTGATTCAAAAGCCCTGTCTATAGACATACTGTATTGAACAGATATCCCTAAATTATTGAATCACAATGATGTAGATTACCAGTGTAGCTTTCACTATAATTAAGCTGGTACTTTTCTCAGACAAAGCAATCATTGACAATGATTCAGTTTGCATTAAATACATCTGCCCTGTACATCGTGACAATGTTGAATACAATTGATTACCCTCTCCGAAATTTGTATCAGATCAGTACAGGTATGTATTCCTTTTATCTTATTATAAATCAAAGCAATCAAACTCATAACACATTGTTTTCCAGCATTTTCACCAAAGTACATAATATCACCTTGACTATCTGGTGCCTACCCTGCTGGCAGAGGCGTTTATTTGTTAACTTCCCCTATGGTCCACATAAAAATTAAGTCCTCTGCGCTCGGCCTGTTAAATCTTCTTCAAGCATGCGCCTGGTAATTATCCAAGTTTGTGGATAATCTGATTTGCAAAACCGATCAGAACCTGTTTTAAACACGTTTTTATGCGCACGCATCCTACAAAGTTGGCCGAGTACTACCAGGAACTAATTTGTTTCTAAACAACAGGCCGTGCATGCTCGAAGAAGATTTAACAGGCGGAGTGCAGAAGACTTTATTTTTACATGGACCATAGGGAAAGTTAACAAATAAACGCCTCTGCCAGCAGGGTATATGGTGCCTTGATTGTTAGAGTAGGATCACGATCGAATCGTCTTTGCACATGGTACTCGATCACCATTACAACGATTAACAAACATCGCATAATGAGACCTGAATTCTTTTGCATAATTATGTTATTTCTTTTGCAACATTTTTTTGTACACACAATGCTGATTCATTGCACTTTTGTTGTATACATGGTGCTACTTTGTCCAATACATCATCATATCGGACACCACGTTATTTGGTACCAAACAGACATTCCAGCGTAACAATATGCAAATATAATATACATACAAAAGCAACAAAACTAATGGAACAAATAGAAAAATAGCAGCTGATAATGTACTCTGTTTGAGCAAAATCAACAAATGTAAGCTTAACAATCACAATAAAGGTCACATAAATATAACAATTGCGCTTATCCTCACTCTGATGAAAGTCCAACATGGCATCTTTGTTTTTTTTTTCCTAGAGTTTGATCACAAGGCACCTTGGTTTTATCAGCAAATGTTCTTCTGTCACTCTGTCCACATTTAACTCATTTGATTTCTGGTTTGATTCTGATGAGACCTTCACTAAATCATCTGATTCTTTTGCTATTTTGAGTTCGCAGAACAACCCATTTTGAAATAATTATACGTTCATTACACACGCCATCTTTTGGAGTGGGTCTACTGCGAACAGTGTGTGGGTCTGTATGTTTGAGCATACAAAAGATGATAATTAACATATCCACTTCAGCTTTCTGCTTTCTGTGCGCGCCAAAATCTAATCTTAGTAGTAGTCATTCACAATACGGCCAAGGTTGCAGAGAAAGTTAAGTTCGTGGACGACCTCCAGCAAGTGATAAGAGAAAGCTGAGCTGTGTTTCCGGTTAGCTAATTAAAATCTGAACAAAAACTTATTAATGAGAACATCGTGGGAAGGAGAGATGTTTTCGGGCAGTTACCGAAGGGGTTTGGAAAGATTTTAATCTTTCAACTGCTGTCTAGAGTGTTGAAATTCTTGAGCTAGGAAGGCCACGGATTCTCTTCTAGTCCCTGGGACATTGTCATTTCACCTCTTCTGTCGTTTGTTGAAGACCAAGTTAAATACCTTTGATCATTGGAAATCGATCCGATGCTGTTTTCGGTGGGAAAAACAAAACCAAAGACCAAGAAATATTGGATGGGAAGGGC